AAGAGAAAGTCAGGAGAAGAGGCGACTTTTGGTGCGCACGCTGAGGTCTTCAGACACGCCTCCGGACCCGAAACAGGCTAGGCGCGGCGGCTCCGCCCCTTGGCCCACTTGCGGATTGGGGAGAGGAGGCGGGTGGAGCACTGGGGGATCGGGAAAGGGAGCCGGTCATAGGGAAGGGATTGAACGCGGAGAACGATTGAGCTCCGGCTCTGCTCACGCACCCGGTGGCTGGGTGGAGCAGGAACGAGAGGGGTGAGGCGAGGCTCAAGGGCCCGGCCCCTTTGGGAAGAGGATCGCCCGGCAACGAGGCAAGAAAGCCGAGGCTCCCCCCGGACTGCTAGGGCTGTTGTGAGCTGAGGGGGCGCTCCTCAAGTGGTGGTCAAGGGGCGTTTACAGAGGCACCTCTGCACCCCTGGCAAAAAAAAGTGTTCTGCGACCGCTTACTTCGCGTAATGGACGAGCCACCCCTGGTTATGGCGACCATTTTTATGCTTATATTTTGTTTTTGTTAATCTTATGGTTATGTTGTTTATTACTTTGTATGTTTTGTGATGTTACCTGGGAACCACTCTGAGTCCCCTCGGGGAGATGGAGCAGTATATAAATAAAGTATTATTATTATTATTATTATTATTATTATTATTATTATTTATAAAGCACTGTGCCAAGATGGCACGGAACTGTAACAAGCCATCATGTTGAGGTTGCTCAGTGTTTAAATATCTCTACTATACAATAGTTCAATCTGCTGAAAATGCTAAGGGGTGGGTGCAAGTAACAGTGGAGCGTCACACCAGACTTATTTGCATGATGGGTTTTATAGATTATAATCAGATATGTCCATAAATCGGAGGTCTTTTGGAAAAAAGTCATTATTTGTGCAGGTGGGTCGAGGAAGCTGTTCTGTAAAAGTCATTTCTGATGGGCTGGGATGTAACTTCTCTCTCTCTCTCTCTCTGGCCATTGGTTAGCTGTGGGTTACCAACCCTCTGTTCCAGCAGATTAGATCAGCAGTCCTGCAACGAGAGCAAAAGACCCAAAACAAAACAAAACCAAACCCTGGTGTCAGGGCTCGGTTTCCTGGCCTTGGACATTGGCGCAAAAAACCAGAATCCTGACATGGAGAGCCGATAAGAGTATGCAGCTGGTGGCCTTGGGAGGAGCAGTTGGTGGTTGGCGGGGAACATTGAGCGGGAACTACAATCGGCGGGAAAAAGGGATTCGAATACGGGGGAGGGTATATAAGGGTTGACTCGAGACGGTGTGCCAATCCTGGCTTTCGTTGTGTATGCATATCCAGTAGTAAAAGTTTCCTGATTGATTACGGATCGGCATCCTGTGTCATTTTTGGAGCGGCTGCTGGGAGCTCACATTAAGCCAGGATTTGCAGTGCCATCCCACGGCTGTGGTGAGGCACCCCCATGCAGGGAGAGGAGGATCTGACAGAGAATCCAACGGGAGGGAGAGAACCAGACTCCCCTTTCGAGAATGCGGAAGAAGAGCTGGAGAGGGTGAATGCATTGGCTTCATCGACTGCATATGCCCAGCCCAACGGAGTCACCCAGAGACGAGTGAAGGGGGCAGCGGCGGCAGCGCGAGAAAGCAGTGGGCTGGACTTTCCCTCCCCACAAAGATTGGACTATCTGGAGGAGAAACTGGCTTCCATGGAAACCACCCTCGCAATGATGTCGAGGGTGATGGAGAGATTGGCCCCGTTGTTAGAGGAGCCACCACCCCGAGGAGACTCGATGTGCAGCGCGGGGAGAGGAGTGGCCGGGAACCCGGGGCACGATCCAAAACGCAGGCGGAGTGGAGAGCCGTGGCGGAGAGTGACGAGGAGGAGGAGCAACCGCGGGGATTGGCGGCGACGTCCCAGCAGACATCCCTGGTGCCCCCGGCCGGGGCCGGGCGTGGCACAGGGCGACGTGAATTGCCACCAGAACAACACGGACTCCCAAGAGGGCCACCCCGAGCGGAGAACCGGGAGAGGCAACCCCTTGCTTACCAACCCAGGAGGGAGGAGCTAAGGATTGAATTTGGAGGAGAAGCCGGGAGCCTCGCATACTTCCTGACCATGGTGAGAGGGTACCTGGAGGATAACGCCCTTACCTTCGGATCGGAAGCAAGCCGAGTGCGGGCGGTGGGTGCAGCGCTGAGAGGAGGAGCGGCGGAATGGTATGTCCAGCTCCACGCCAGGCATGACCCATGTTTGCATTCTATGAGGCGATTCCTGGCTGCAATGGAGGCGCGCTTCAGGGATCCGCTCGAGAGGGTCCGGGCGAGGGAAGAGCTGCAAACAGTAACACAGGGCCATCGCTCCGTGTCCGAATATGTAGAGGAGTTCCAGTTGAGGGCCGAAAAGGTGCCGGAATGGTCCAACACCACTAAGGTCCAGATATTCAAAGAGGGCCTGCGGAGGGAAATCCTGACCAGGGCACTTCATCGCGACAATCCAGAGGAGATAGGCGGATGGATCGAGCTGGCGGGCCGCATCGAAACCACGTTGGCCCAGATCAAGAGATGTCAAGGAGCGGCGCCGCAGCAGACGAGAGCAAAGGAGGAGAGTCGGAGGACGGAGAGAAGCACGATGGGGAAGGGCCCCGCCGGAGGACCCAAGGAGCAGAGGGGCGGCTGTTTTGTATGCGGTCGCCTTGGCCATCGGGCGGCCGGATGTCGACAAAGGAGAGGGGGAGATCCCCATTTCCAAAATTTTAAACCGGCCACGGGGAAGAAAGCAGAAGAGAGCCCCCCTAGTAGGGCCCCGGTGGGAGATCTGGGGAGTCACAACCCAGGAATGCTGGTGTTCCCAATCAGGCTAGAAGGGGAGGGGAAATGGGCCAGCTGCAAAGCCCTCATGGATTGCGGCTGCTCCAGAAACATTATGACCCCAGAATTAGCAGATGAACTGAACTATAAGAAAACCCCTTTGCAAAATCCCATAGCATTTTCGCAGCTGGATGGTTCAGTAGCAACCGGAGCCCCAGCGCGATTCGAAGTAGGGGAGGTGAGATGCAAAGTGGGGAGCTGGGAAGGCAACATAACCTTCGTGGTATCCCCTATGGCTACTTATAATGTAATACTGGGGATGCCGTGGTTGAAGGAAGCAAACCCACAGATCAATTGGAAGGAGGGCAGCATAACCTTCCAGAGCGAAGAGAGGGGGGAGTGTTGCAGGGGGGAGGAAGGCACGGCAAGCGGAGCGCAGGAAATTCCCCCTGAGTATAGAGACTTTGAAGATGTGTTTGACGAAAAGGAGGCAGATCAGCTTCCCCCACCCAGAAGGGTCGAGGTAAAAATCGAACTCAATGAGGATGCCAAGTTGCCCAGGAGTAGATTATACCCCATGTCGGTCAAGGAGATGGAGGAACTGAGAAAATATGTTGACAAAAACTTGGCCCGAGGGTTCATAAGGCCATCCGAATCACCGTTGGGGGCCCCAGTGTTATTTAGACACAAAAAGGACTGCTCATTGAGGCTGTGCGTGGACTACAGGGGACTGAACGCGGTGAGCACAACCAACAACTACCCAATGCCACTGACCAAGGACTTGCTGTCGAGACTGTCAGAGGCAAGGGTGTTCACAAAAATTGACTTGATTGAGGCTTATCACAAGCTACGAATAAGACCCGAGGACAGGTGGAA